TTGGAATGGATTCCTTACGATAGATTGAATGATCTAAAGCCGATGGCGAAAGGGGGGTTTGGAAGTATATATGTGGCTACATGGATAGACGGACCTAGATGGACTGTGAAAGAAGGGAAGTTGGTTAGAGATGGAAAAACTGAAGTTGTAATAAAAGTTCTAGACAAGCTGGAATGCGGCTCTGTGAAATTCTTTGAAGAAGTAAGGTTTGCCGCATTCATACAACGTACGTGTCATTACGACCAATAATGTCTAATTTTTTGAGCTTGTTTTCAGTTGAAAGTGTGTCTCCAATGTAGTGTGAGCGGATCCGTACTTCGGTGCTATGGTATCACTCGCGTTCCATCTTTTGAGAAATTTGCAATGGTAATGGCATACTGCAGCGATGGGGATTTACATCAAACTCTTCGTCGATCATTCTCCACTATCACATGGGCTTTCTGTCGAAAGACACTCTGGCAAATTGCATATGGCCTGGAGGAGGTTCACAAGCATAATCTAGTGCATGGTGACTTTCATTCCGGTAATATATTCATCGTGGCTGAAGGAGCCATAATTGGCGATCTTGGATTATGTCGCCTAGTCGACGATGTATCGTCGGAGAGACAACGTGGGTCCTCCTTTGGTGTATTGCCTTATGTTGCTCCCGAAAATTTGAGGGGAAAACCGTACACTCATAAATCAGATGTCTACAGTTTTGGGATGATTATGTGGGAACTTACTACGGGTGAGCGGCCGTTCCAAAGGCGTGCACATGATGTTCAACTTGCGTTGGACATATGCAATGGACTGCGTCCAGAAATCACTGCTGATACTCCAGACTGTTATAAAGAGTTAATGACAAAATGCTGGGATGAAGACCCAGACAAGCGGCCAACGGCTAATGAAATAGCGTCTACTCTTTTTGAGTGGCACTTTGAGAAAAAGAATCATCAGGAGTTCAATACTGCCCAGGCATTAAGATTACAAATGAAACGCCGGAATGTTGAGGCGGAATTGCATTCGCAGGCCGTTTATACGAGTCGATTACTTGACTTTCCTGAGGTGAAGGCAGTCCGCGGTAGGTCATCAAAACGAGAAGTCTTAATAGAACGTAATGTTATGGTATTAACTATATTTTACTATCGGAACTTTCGATAGCGAAAGAAGAAACAGGAGATGAATCTGGTATGAACGTTGTCATTTTTATTCGTAACATAAAAGCAGCTAATGTTGACATTCTTTAATTAACTGGTAGATTACAAATCGCGCCAACTAGAACTTGCAATATAATGTGGATACATGTTCGTTCCGTCGAATATGTGGTGAGGTTATTCGAGTTTTTACAATGATAATTTATTCTTATGTTGAGTTCCGAATGATGTTACGTAGCTCGTAACAATACCTAGGGTTTTATTTTGTGTATAATAATTGTAGGCGATAATTCACGGTCTATTAAATCATATTTATTGTCAAATTACGCAAGAATGTACCAAGTTTTAACATAATCCATGTTGCTATCTGCATGAGCTAATCTGAGTAGGGAAAGGGCTAATTCGTATGAGACGGGTTGATAAAAGATCTTTTAGATGATAAGATAGAATGGATATTAGAAGAAAAGTGTAGTGAACTAGTCTTGTTGGAGAGAGAATTTTATTAAATTACAACTCATGTCCAAACCAGAAATTATTAGCTCCTATTGTAAGCTCTTACAGATAAAACGATTTACGGCAGCAGAAGTAAGAAATCGTTACTTGAGAGGATATGAAGTTGATCGTTGAATTAAAAGATCCTAATGCTACGATTCTTGGTTTTGAATGAAAAAAAAAACACAGTATTTCGACACAGTAATATGTTATTTTTTAAGGCCAAGGCATCGAGTGTTTACAAACTTTCTTTTCACAGTTATCTGAGGAATGTCTTTTTTCTTTTCTACTGCACACTCTCTAATGCTTGTCATCTAGGAACGTATCCAAAAACTGTTCAACGTGATCCCTAGCTTTTGTCACTACAATGCATGTGCATGAACATTTCAGACGAACGGTTTCTGATTGTAGATTTCTCAACGAGTGCAATGTAGAACCACTGCCGACCGCAACAATGTGACTTCATATGTTTGGTCTGTGAATGCTTGCACGCAATAGTATGCAATGCAACAAATTATGATCACGTTCTGGGTATGCGACTTACTTTACGTCGATAATGTTATCTTACAAATTTGATTTGCATCTCGTTCATACTATTTTCATTTAACCCATTTCCAGTTGTGCGATCATCCGATCTGCAACTTGTTTTCGTAACACAATGGTTACAGGTTGTATACAATATGAGTCAAGTGAAAAAGAAAAAAAAATAATATCTATTGAAACATCTTAATCAACTACACGCAATAGAATCTTTCATTTCATTGGTTCTACAAAGTCCAGTAGATCGACGTGAATTTAATATTAAAATCTTTAGTATGGACGAACTCGAGATTTAGACAAAATGTCAGACTCATTAATCAACAATGAAGAATCTATGGAAGATATTCGGATCAGCGGTTATGATCCATTGATCTCACCAGAACTACTTCAAAGCGAGATACCACTTGTATGTGTAGAAATGAGCGTTTTGTCAAGCTTAAGTCTGCCCGTTACAGATTCCTGATTTAATCGTCTACTATAGAGCCAAGAGGCGCGGCAAGTTGTATTGACTGCTCGAAAAAAAGCGTCAGACATCATTAATGGCACAGATGACAGACTTTTAGTTATCATCGGTCCATGTTCTATTCACGATGTCAAAGCTGCTTTAGAATACGGTAATTCTAATGCCTAATCATAATGCACGGACTTGTATATGCCAACGTTCGAGATTACTGACACTTCTCAAACTCTTCTAAAACAGGCACAAGACTTAGAGAAGTTGCGGATAAACATGGCGATGATCTCTTGATCGTAATGCGTGCATACCTCGAAAAACCAAGAACGACTGTCGGATGGAAAGGTCTAATCAACGACCCGGATATTAATGAGTCCTTCCAAGTAAACAAGGGACTCCGCATTGCACGAAAGCTACTATGTAACTTGACGGGTGCTGGCACACCTGTGGGTTGCGAGTTGCTGGACACTATCTCACCTCAGGTACGGGATAAGATCTCGTGTTCTAAATTAGTCTTATGCTTTTATCCTATATCGTCCATTAGGCTCGTTTGTCGTTATATTGGCATCATGCTGATATCATTCCTTTAATGCGACTCGTTCGTATCTCCTAGTTCCTTGCTGACATTATTTCTTGGGGAGCAGTTGGCGCGAGGACAACAGAAAGTCAACCGCATCGTGAGCTCGCATCTGGTGTTTCTTTCCCGTAGGTTTTATTCTCCCTCCGCGATGTATTTGTTTATAACATAACACAAATTGCTAATAATGAAATTTACCTATTCGATAGGGTTGGTTTCAAAAATGGTACAGATGGCAACGTCAAAGTAGCATTGGATGCTATTCGATCGGCGTCTCATCCACACCATTTTCTTGGTGTCACGAAACAAGGCTTGGCTGCTATCACTCACACCAAGGTATGCCGCCCATAGAGGTTGGTTTTTAGTATTACCTACTCTATTGATCAATGCTTATTGATGATTTTATAGGGAAATGGTTATTGTCACGTAATTCTGAGGTATTTAAAAAAACGAAACCTCGCTTGTATATACTACGATTATGTATTAATAATATAACTGTCGTCGTTATGTTTTACGCTAGGGGTGGAAACGATGGCCCTAATTACTCAAAAGAATACATCGACGCAACAAAAGACGCGTTACGAAAAGCCGGTCTTCCGCAGCGCATTATGGTAGATTGCAGTCATGGCAACAGCGGAAAGAAGCATACTAATCAGCCGATCGTAAGTGCTGACTTGGTAAGTGCCTTTGATTTTTCGTGACGTTATTGTTGACAGCTCTTCATCATGCGCCGTTTCTCTAATAACTTTGGCCTACGATTCTTCCAATTGCATTAAATGCTTTTTCCAGGCTGCTCAAATTGCGGCAGGAGAGGATGCAATCATGGGAGTGATGATCGAATCAAATCTAGTGGCTGGTAGGCAAGACGTGCCACCCGAGGGTGCTTGTGGATTGACATATGGGCAATCAATTACTGATGCCTGTGTTGGATGGGAGGATAGCGAGCTTATGTTGGAGCAATTGGCGCAGGCAGTTAGACAGCGGAGAGCTGTCAAACAACAGTCATCAGAAATATAAGGTGGGGAATCGTTAGTTCGTAGAGTATGTGAACGCCAGAAACAGGAATCGGAAGTAGTAATCAAAATTTTATTGCTCATATTAATAAGGAAATACTTAAATTAGAAAAAAAAAAGTTACAAATCTTAGTCAGATGTCTATTAATTACTATTAAAAAAAAGTTTGTTGGTTGTTATTTGATTAATTGCACTCCCGAGGCAATATCAGAACCAACTTTAAGGTCTATCAAATAAAAATGACACCATTTGCTAGTCATGTAAGGATATTCATTCAATAATTACAAATATAACATAAATTTGAATCTAAAATAATTCACATACACTGCGATATATATATATATATATATATATATATATATATATACTGTATATTTATATCTCATTTTCCTCTCCGCACTTTCCTCAATTTGCTCTCAAATATACTTGTTTTAGATACTTCTTTCTGGTTACCGTCTCTAATCATCTGAGCATGACCAACAAGACACTCTATCATTTGATTATATGTCTCCGAATCCATGACAGTTTGCTCTCTTTGGTCTAGCCAATAGGTGAGAACGTCTGATGTTTGTTTAGTTAGTGACAAGAGTTGATTTATCAGTGCATGTAATTGAGTAGTCGAGTACGACTGTAGTGTTTCTATTGAGATTTTAGCAACAAAAACGTTGGCGTTGGTTAATAAGTCGGGTTAAAAAAATTTTCTATTACTTGGACAATCTCACACAATAGCGACTGCAACGATACTATGTAGCAGATTATCCGTCAACTTACCCTCATTTACTGTACATAATGTCCTTATAAGCTCAACGTCGACTTCCTTGACAATCGTCACAGTTGCAGCAGATTCTTTCGAGTGATGGTTGTTTATGGTATTAGGTGTTGAATGTGAATTGACTGCTAGAGAGTGTGGTCGAGACGATTGCAGCTGTGATGATGATTGAGGAGGCACCGAGGGTAGCGATTGTGGTCTCGTCCCGTATTTTGGTTTCGCCTAAAAATGTCAGCCAGATATTAGAGTTGATATTTAACTGATACCAATAAATTCACAATCTCGATGAATACTAACTTGAATTAATGTGTTAATTTCAACTCCCAAAGATGAATAGAACGACTTTCTTATGACAGAATGTTTCCATTGAAACAGTGTCTCGTTGATGTCAGGTGATAATTTATTCCATATATTCAGACTGTAATAGATTAGTAAAAGTTAAATCAACGCGATTCATTTGCGTGGATCAGTAGAAAATGCATGTCCTCATTCATGCTCACGCGTGTACACACATGCATACCTTCGAGGATTCACCTCCAGTATCTGTTTCGGTTCGACCTTGGCAATACTCGCTATTGCCTCGTCCAAATCTATCACAGTTTCCCCGATCGATAGACCATTATTCATATTGTCTGTATCCGCAATGCTAAGTACATCATTGAATCCACTTTCTTCAAAAGCGTTTCCTGTTTCGTCACCCTTTCTTGCACTCTCGCTGTCGATCTCTTGCGCTATCTCTGGTTTATCGTCAACTGCATTTCCGCTAGCAAAGTCTGTAAAGTCGTCAAATTCACCAAAGTCGTCTTCGGCGTCGCCGGCTGTCTCAAAGGTGGAGAATTCATCATCAGCAGAAGTGGCATTAGTTTCCGACATAATTTCCTGTATTTTTTGCTGGCTGAGGCTGGGTGATTGGGGTTGCAAGGTATGTTCGTATCACGTGATATTGGTTACTACCACGATCATCTGCATAATTTAAATTCTCTTCTGACGATCATTTCCAGCGCCACACAACTTTTCCAAAATATGAATATTGCAGAAAGATTACAAAGTCTCTATGAACTCTGTTTCCGAAATCCCATAATAGTTGGTAGTCTTCTCGACTCGATCACACTCTACAAAGATTTGTATGTATGCTTGTTTGTCAATAGAATGTGGGGTAGTTTAGCCGTAAGGCGGTTATGGTATCAATTCACAGCTTCGCCCGATGATCTCCTTACGCATACCATCGAGAAATTTATAAACACTCTTGTCAAGTCACGGAACAATGAAACGCGATATTCATACTATAAATATGTTCGCGTCATAGACTTGCAGCAAGTACCTGACGTGACAGACGATGTATTAGAATCATTACTCACCAATTCACCATATGTGGAGAAACTTTTGCTTGAGAATTACGCATGGCCTACGGGTGAAATGCACAAGATAGCACCGCTCATGCCTAACGTAAGATGTATCGGAATGAGCAACATGATTATAGAAGACGAACTTCAACCGCTTTCGACTTACTGTAAACACTTGGAAGAATTGGAACTTGGGGCAGATATCCTATGTACGTCAGAAGTGTTGGCTAGCATAACAAAAGAATGTCCAAAGTTGACTGTCCTAAGATTATTCAGCAAAGGGTATGATGACCAAGAAATGAACGAAATATTAAAGAATATCCCAAGTCTCAAAGAACTAAGAATTAGTGAATGTTTCTGCATCACCGAAGCATTCTTTCAAAATGTGATTTCTATTTGTCGTGAGTTAGAAATGTTTTCGTTCTACAGGGGTTTTATTGAAATATCTGTAGATAATGTAATCAAATTCGCCCAACACTTTGCCAAAGCCACCAAATATGTATTTATAGATGTAGTGAAATTATTGGATGTGAGAATAGAATGCAATTCTGCTGAAATAATGGCAGCTATGATGGAACCAGACGCTGACAAGATCATCAAACATTGTGAAACGTTAAAATTGGTTTCGTTGAGCCTACTGTATTTTACCCTTGACTCTGAAAAACTGGCTGCTATCTGTGGACGGCTCGACGTCCGTATATTAAAATTAGAACGAATAGATGGTGTGACTAATAAGGTAAAAGGGACATGCGTTATAATTGACTTGATGGCAACGTTTTTAAATTTCTAAACTTTCGTTATCAATTAGGAGATACTGGAGGCAATTAAAAAAGCCAAGAAAATTGATACCATAATAATTACATTCAAGAGCCCCTCATTCCAACCTCTACGGGAAGAGGATTTACGCGAAATTACTAGGACATCTTCAATCAAACATCTGGAATGGCAGTGTTCAATATACGACTTTGAGGATCGACGAAGATCAGCCAAGCTTCCTGTAGAAGGAGGATGTGAAGAGAAAGAAATACTTAACAAACTATTTGAAAGCCATCTCGTGCTGACAGAAAAGTCTAACTAGACTGGACTTTTACCAATGGTGAATATTTTTCGTCTCAAAGCAAATAGTCAATGACCGTCAAAAGTTGAACCGATACAAGCCCCGCCCACATTTTCCAGTAAAGAATGAATGAATCACAATCATGGTTTAAAATGTTGGTGTCATTAAGAAATAAAATTTTAATTGGTATGCTCATTAATTACAGTTTCTTGATTGGTTGTTTGATAATCGTACAATCTCAAAAGATTTCTTTGCAGCATGGCAATCGTCACTTTGCCAACAGAAGGGACGAATATGCTAGCTTTCTCGCATACAGAGTCTTCAAAATTTTGAAATGATGAAAAGTTAATAGCTATCACACCATCTCGTAGTGACTCGTTCGATAACTTGTATGATTTTGACGGAACGCCTGTTATCACCACATCTGACATTGGAATAACATCGTCGGTAGTGAGATTTGTCTCGTGAACCTGGCGAAATACAAAAAAACGAGTGTACAATTAAGTAGGAATTACAAAAAAAAAGAAAGACATGGTGTCGAATTTACTAGGGGCCTTTTTCTTTCACCTCATGTTTCTTCAATTTTAATCCAGATCCACGCGTAAATTCCTGTACTCCGTTAATGTCGATAGAATATACTTTAGCACCATCGTTTGCTAAGAGCGCGGCTAATGGTCTACCCACAATCTCGCTTCGATTAATTATAGAGATCACACGTCCGTACAATCTATTTCCATAGGGTAATACAAGATTATACACTCCAACATACTCCATAACTTTGATTATAGCCAGAGGCGTACACGGAATAATGCATTTCTTCGTTTGCTCTCTATCCAGGAACCGTATATTATGATACATATTATAAACATATCTATGAGACAATCCTTCTACATCCTTGGCCACGTCGACAACATTCTGAATATACTGATCTTGTCTATTTCCAAACACGGGATAATACACCATTATTCCATGAACGTACGGATCTTCATTTGCAGCAATGATATCATTTTCAAGGTTTTCACGCCTGCATTGTCTCAACTCGAATGTAACGCCAGTCTCTTGACAAGACTTTGCTGTCCATTCGGCGTATTTTTCTGCGGCTGGGTCATCGTTTGCCAGGAACCCCACTAGTTTTGGACTGATTCCGCGCGAGGATATAGTTTTTTTGAGTTCTTCTCTGTATGAATGAGCAATCAGTCCGAGCTGAATTGATCAGATCAAATGAATAGATTAGAATGTCGATCGATAGAAAAAAGGAACCTACATATAGTTTGTTGCTATTTCTACTGCTTGAATCGTTTTACACGACATCTTTTCTGAAAGATGCAAATCTGCTTGGAACAAAAATTTTCCAGCTTGCATTTGTTTACCTGCATCAACGGCTTGCGACACGATTCCTTTACCGGAAGCGATCTACCGATGCAAACTAAATCGAGTATATTAAAAAACAAGGAAGATTCACACAACATTAACAACGACATGCGCAGGTGTGCTGCTTGTAAAGTCAGTACAGTTTATATCGACCCGCGGACGGGGGAAACTGGCGAGTTTTGCTCTAATAAGTGTCGCAAGGCTGCTGTTTATCAAGGTAATGCGTCTGATCTGCAATAGGATTTCATGCAATAAATTGACGTTGAAATTTTTGTCGCAATTAATATAAATAGGCATAGTAGAGGCCTGTAAGCATTGTAATAAATATCCTCGCCTACTCGGGCAAAACGGACAACGGCTTGCGTATTGTGGTGGGAAATGTAAAAATGAAGCAGGGGCCAAAACTTTATCTGCAACAAGCAGGCATCAAGATCAAAAGTATTCGATGCCTAACCATCAGAAGTCTCTTCCCGAACAACCAGTGCCGAATCGAATGTTTATACCAGCAGTAACAATCTCTAATCAACCAAATCCAATGCCAGTTGCCCCATATAGGCCAAGCGGAAGTATGGCCCAAGCATACTTGGTTCCCAACAAGTTGCCGGATACTTGTCTAAATATAACTCAAACAGCAACTCGGTCAACACGTCGAGTGGCATTTTCAACAGCATCCCCAATGACAAATCAAACAAAGGAGAAGAAAGCTCGTTTTGAAATATCGATTATGTCATCAGCTGGACGGCCGTCTTCCCACACGCTAGCATCGCGGCTACCCACACTAACTCCAGGATTACAAAAAGCAGCAAAGCAAAAGTCCCTTTTCTCACCAGTTGCTCTATCTTCTTCTTTGGTATTGACATCCAACAGTAGAGTTAGCGTTCCTGTATGTCAGATATGTCGAATGACGCCTTGTTGGTTTGATATTGATAGTGGAAGATATGCACCGTATTGTTCGCGAAAATGTAAAGAGATAGCGGGAGATCGAATTGTTTGAAGCGGAAGGAGGAATCTGAAATAGTCAATTCTTTGTTTATTAAATAGATTTGTTTCAACTTGTAGTAAGTCAACTGCGTTTTTTGGCGATAGATAGAGCATGCATTTGATATGCATTTAGACAGAAGAGGACATTTTTGATGCTGAAGCCAGGATGTGATGATAACAATATTTTGTGTCAGTTGAGAAAATTGATTTATTATTGTAAATAACATGAACAATTTAAACTTCAATTTAATTTACATTATTAAGTGAACGAACTTATCAACTTTGAAGTCGTATATTCGAAAAGGAATAGACATTAAAAGCTCTCCTAGACCGGTCATTTTCTCGTTGTGTGAATGTTTGCTTTCAAGTTTCCTCACTGACTTTACGCGTGGTTGCATGTGATTGCGCACGAATTACTGTACGGTAAATTTTTTAGTCTCAATTCTTGACAAAGAGCCTGTTTTTTAAGGCAACATATATTTGAAGCAAACAGCGGATATGCTGCAGTAAAACAGATTTGTGAATTAACACTACAGAACTCTATTTTAAAACGTATTATATATCATGGATACAAAGCTGCAGTTCGATGAGGCACAAGTACGTTTCGTGTACACTAAACACTAAAAATTATTTAAATTTGATCAGACCACCAAATTTCATTCCCAAATCACCAATAACGAAACCGTTACCACTTAAAAAACAGTGTTTTTACTAAAAAAATTTGATGGGCTAATATGTTAGTCTACTAATAGTCGAATTTATGATAAACGCGCTGTTGGTTATTATATCAACAAAAAATACCAACCTTTAACCAAATTTAAATATTAATTATTTTAACTGCGTTCTAAAATTGGTTCACACTTTTGAAACAAGAAGTCATTTTGTCGAATGCCGCCAAAAACAACAGTTGCTCTAAACAAGTGTCTGGCTAACTAAAATAAGTTAACTTCTCAGTAATTAGTTCCGGAAACCGCCTTTCCGCCCATTATAGTTGCGCATTACAAGAGCTTGCTGATTTCGGAAGTTATTCGACGCTCAAAAGCGGTTTGTTTTACAATTTTTTATTTACAAATCGGATTTTAGCTAGAGAAAAAAAAAGGTATTTAATTTGCTATTCAGATATGTCATTAGTGTTGGACATTAGGCATGGAAATTCCGACAGTATAAATTAATTTGGTAAAATAATCTTTGTCAAAAGTATTATAATTAAAATAAAAAGTGAACTGTAACAACAATTAATTTTGAGTAAAATTTAAGAATGCAAAAAATGGTTAAGCTCACTTGACGTTCCTGGATAGATGTTAGGAATCTGTGCAACACACAAAACACGTAGTGAATAATGGAACGTTATGAAAAAGCACAGATATACAAATCAGGAAGCAGTATGACAATACCGGAAAGTCGGTTTCAATAGAAACAGTTTTTTTTTGTAATCCTATTAATGAACGACATCAAACTACATACGTATAAAGCTGGCTGTTCGTTGAATTTCAAACAGGATGCTATTATTTTCCGAACAGTTTAACTCAGGTTGGAGCTGCAATCAAAACATGTGTATTTATATTATCCTATCAAATTGATCCTATTTTAAAGCTTGTGTGTTAATGCCATGGATTTTCCGTTCCCCATTTTTACAGAATGGTGTAATCATCAAGATTTTAATGTCATACGTAACTTTAATACTATATTATATACGGGTGTTTGAACGCATGGTAAACGTTGAATTAACTTTAATTTCCGTGATAGGCATATTTCCTGCTTATATATTTTTATGACTACAATCATATAATGACAGCATTGAGAACGTAAATGACAAATCATTATGGGATAGTTTAATTTATGATGCTTTTCTCTAGCAGAAGATGTAAGAAGATTATAATGAAGCATCCGTTAAAGTTTTTATGTTGGCAAGAAAGACACGAACGACTTTGTTAAACCTCTTACAATTTTAGTTAGCGCTAGATGCAAGGACGTGTTGATTAATTTAATTGAACGCCGTGCGTGCACATGTGTCGATATGCGTATATACGTGGTATCTAATAATAGATGTTGACCCTCGTTTGATGCAAGTCTCTTCCGTCATAAACTTATATTCTCTGTAGACTCTGTAGAGCAACCTTATAATACCTATGGAAGATGGGCTAACCATATTCGAATATTGTTTATGATATCATAAGATCTATTACATACGATACGGACAATGGCAAAAGACTAGCATAACACTGTGAGGATGATGTCTCTTTTCCATTATCAATTTTCTGTTTCTTCATATCCATCACTGCCTGGAATAAATCACAGGTTTTTGGTAGACTGATATAATAATATAATTATCGTCCGAACAATGTGGTATCCTGCTTAATAATGTTTGATGCACAAAATGAATGGGGTCCCAAATCGTAATTTAAGGGTATTTATATTTACTATTATTGCGCTATCATGTTTGGTATTAGTAACTCTAAGCGTTTAATCGCGAACTCCACTAGACAAATGTCACTCTGGTACATTGCCTGTCTAAAACGAACAGTTAACCAGCTTGTTCACAACTCCGCTTTCCTTCTTCTCATTCTTACTCTTTATATTCAATTATTAGCAAAAGCAGATATCCGTCTTTTTCTCATATGCGTCGAAATAATAATGTATTGTTTGGGCACCACGATACAGCTTCTCTTGTTATGGTTAGATCGCGATCCGTTTGTTCATTATAAAAACGCTTTTCTTACCTCCGAAGACTTTTCTAAATAAAGAGTTGACTGTCCCGAATTGTTATTTATGAGTGGAAGCTCCCGACGGGATTTATTTGGTTGATGACAAATCTTTCCTTTTGTCACACAATCAAATTATTATAAATCGCATTTACTGCTTTGACATATCACTTATGCCATTACTCTCTAAAGCACTCACAAAAAACTTGATAGAAAGAGTATTTATTAGAACAAAGACAAATAATTTTACATTTCCATCAATTACTAAATCAACAAGAGAGATGCATTCTAAAGTCGTGATTATCGGGTCTGGCCCAGCTGGCCATACCGCGGCCTTGTATTTGTCTAGGGCAACTCTGGAACCCGTCATGTATGAAGGTTTCTTGGCTAATGGAATTGCCGCTGGTGGACAGGTAATTTTTTAGATTCATATCTTATATGAATGATTCACTATCATGCATTTCTATTCGTATCAATACACAAACAAACTCACTCCCAATTTGTATATCATCAGCTCACCACAACAACGGACGTCGAGAACTATCCCGGCTTCCCCAATGGTATCGGAGGCACAGAAATGATGGATCTATTCCGCGAACAAAGTGCCAAGTTTGGTACCAAAATCATAACAGAAACTGTCGCAAAGGTTGATCTCTCGTCGCGTCCATTTAAATATTGGTGCGAGTATAAGGAAAATCAAGAACCCGACACAGCCGATTCAATTATTATTGCGACTGGTGCTGCTGCCAAACGACTAAACTTGCCCGGCGAAGACACTTATTGGCAGAAAGGTATTTCTGCCTGTGCCGTGTGTGATGGTAATTAATTGCATCAAGCTACTCGCAATCTTGATAATTCGGCGATTTTTTTTTTTTAAAAAAAAAAGTAAACCTTATCGCTAACCGAGATCTATTTTTCAAAAGGTGCTGCACCCATATTTCGCCAAAAGGCGCTTGTAGTGATCGGAGGCGGTGATTCTGCAGCTGAAGAAGCAATGTTTCTTAGTCGATACGCTTCACACGTATATGTAATCGTACGTCGCGACGTGCTTCGAGCATCCAAGGTCATGGCAAATCGTCTTCTTTCTCATGAAAAGGTAACAGTTATATGGAATCATGTGCCAATCGAAGCCAAAGGAGATGGCAGTCTCTTGAACTGTGTTCGTATCAAACATACAAAAACTGGAGAAGTGAGAGATCTCGAGGCTAGTGGCTTATTCTATGCCATTGGACACGAGCCTGCTACTAAACTCGTAAAGGGACAGTTAAAATTAGATCAAGATGGTTATATTGTTACCGAACCTGATACCACTTACACCAGCGTTGAAGGTGTCTTTGCCGCAGGTGATGTTAAGGATAAGAAGTATCGCCAGGCGATCACTAGCGCAGGATCTGGATGCATGGCTGCCCTTGATTGTGAACGATGGTTAGCCGAGACACTAGGCGAATAGATTCAGACAGATATACATAGACAATACACGTGATATAATTTATACACTTTATTCGACGATAATAAATTGTTGTAAGATCTAATTAATAGCTTGTAATTTATCTACATCATTGCCACTTTTCAATTGTATGTGTTCATGCAAAATATCTCTAAAAACCATGCTTGCCATACCCACTCCCCGTCTTTCTAGTTGCACCTTCGTTCATGCATTCTAATTTACCTAACGGGTGCAAACACAATAATTCCATATGCTAGTATAGTTGGCCAGTACGTACAACACACGAAAGGCAGTAAGTAGTTTCCAAGCACCAAATATTCTGACAACTGCCATTCCAAGAACGCCCTTATGTCGACACCTGATAGCAACAATAATCCGGGCGGAGATATTACCAAAAGCACGAACAATTGTAATGCTCTCAGTAACTGTTGCTCGGTTGGCCGGAACAATGAGAATGGAATCACGACTGCCAAAGCCACAAACACTGCCAGGCTATAATTGAGAACCGACAGACAAGATATTATCATTCCTGTATAT